GCATTCCTGGGTACGGTCCCCCCGCGGTCTGAGCTCACCCCCTCCTGCCGACAGGAAACCAGGACATGGGCGTCGGGAGAACACAGACTTTGCAGCCCGGTAGTATTTTTCAGAGCTGTTTATTGGCGACAGTGCAGAACCAAGGGGGAAGGGGAGCGGCCCAGCGCCAGTCGGCCCCAGCCCCCTGGGGTCAGGTGCAAATACAAAAAGAACCACAAACACTGCACGGGGTGGGGGGTCGGGGGTCCCATAAACTCGGCAGGGGCAGGCCCCGCTCACCGTCTCACACGCGCACCCGGAATTCTCAAGGATACAGATTGTAAAAACCTATGAACCATCAGGCGGACTCACACAAATAAAACCCTCGTGTCCCCAAGGAGCCCAGAGTCAGAAGACAGCTCAGGAGTCAGGGACAGTGGAGAGGAGGCGGGTCAGATAAAAACAGGCAGAGAAAAGAGGGAGAGAGACGCTCAGCAAAGAGAGAGCCAGAGACTGTCGGACACAACCAGTGGGGCGAGACAGCTAGAGACAGTCGGATAGAGACAGCCAGAGAAAAGACAGCCAGAGGGGGCTGATTGGAAGTTTCCAGAAGCAGTGTTTCCAATTCAACGGCAGGCTCTCTGCACGCGCGAGGGGACGCGCGGCCTAGGCCGAGGTTACAGAAGCGCTCGTACACGCACACGCGCACACACACCCATATATAATATATATTTTATACATAATAGATAAAAGTGCCTTTCGGAAACCAGGAAAGGGATAAATAGCTACGGGAGGGGCCTGGGTTCAGGGTGGGAGACGCGGGACCGGGGCACGTGGAATGTTCTCCATGCAACACAGAGGGCGGCGTGGCCCACCCCCATATTAAAAAATATAAATTTGCCTCGTGATAAAATCCACACGAGGTGAAGCACAAGGAAAGCGGGTTGGGAGACCCGAAACCAAATCGGGGGCTAGGGCAGTCGGGAGGTGGGGAGCTGGGATCCTGGGAACCCAGTCCCCTGGAGTTTGCCAGTCCAAACATCTTGGGGGTCGGGGACCAAAGCCTCAGCCCTTAAATCTTCTCCGGAAAAATGTTGAGCCCCCTGGCTCCCTTTCTAGAGAGGACGTGGGGTGTCAAGGTGGGGAGAAGTTGGCGTCCTAGGCTGGGGAAGGGTGATTGGCCTTGAAGAAAAAGGCCAGGGCTTGGGGCTGGGGGGCTCCTGAGGAGAGAGAAGCCACGCGGATGGACAACTGTCACCCCCTCTGGATTCTGTCACCCCCTCGAGTCTGACTCACTGTTGAGGGGAGAATACAAGGCAGATGGGGTGGGGAGAGGGATCAAGGAAAGGCTTCGGGGAGTAGGGGGCACAATCCCCCCCAGAAGGGTTCTGTCGCACCCCACCCGGCTCCACCCCACAATCCGGCCAATCGTTTCACAGTATAAACACCCCAGCAGGACGGGCCCACAGCGCCCCCTGCTGCCTGAAATCAGAAAGGCCCAACAAGGAAGGCCAGGGAGGCTGGAGGCGGAGCGGGGGACTCGGGATAATACTGAAATGGGAACGGGGGCTGCTGAATTGGGGAGTCTTTAGGTGAGAAATTCAAATCAGAGGCAGTTTTCCCTGGAGGGAGCGGCTGGGCAGTCAGGGAAGGAAGTTCACATTTCAGGCTGATCTGGTGCGGGGAGGGACAATGTCAACGTGGCAGTCTTTCCCTCTATGGCGGGCTCCAGATTCTGCCCAGAGGAGGGCCGACCCCATAGAAATGTGGGATAAATTAGCGAAGGTGGGGTAAAGGGGGAGCCAGCCTAGTCTCGCCCTGTAGGGTGAGCACAGAGGACAGTCGGTGGAGTGGCACTTCCTTGTCGGACCTCCCTGGAGCAGACTCCCTCCCACCCAGATCCCACCCACTCCCCTTCCCTCCAGCCTCACAGGAGACTGCCCACAGGTGGGGTCACCCCCATACCCATACCGGCCCCTCCCCACCCTCTGCCCCCAAAGTCACCAGCTCTCCGGCCTCGCCGGGGCCCAGAAACAAAGGCGGCGCAAAACGCAAGGAGGCGCTCGTGTCCGATGGCAGTGGCCGCAGAGGGTCCGACAGAAGAGCCAGGGAAGCCACACGCCCACTGTGTCTCTTCCCCTCTCTCCTCCTCTTCCAAATCTCTCTCCCTTGTGTGTTTGTTTGTTTTGTGTGTCTAAAGAGTTCACAGAGCAAGAAGGGAGGGCGAGTTCAGGGGGTCGGAAGGCTGGTCACTGCCGCTGGTGCGTTGGGCGCCGGCGAACGCGGAGACCTCCGGGCAGGTGAGGACAAACGAGGAAGTGTACGAAGGGTTAACAACGGGGAAGGGGTCGCCGAGGACTTGAACTTCACTGTGTGTAAAGAGAGAAGCTGTCAGGTTGGGGGGTGCGTCTTGGCTGGTCTGGAAGGGCAGGGGCGGTGGTGGTGGGGGCGGCAGCAGCCAGCTGAGACCATCTTCCTTAGCGGATGCAGACCCCGGCAAACCTCTCACCTCCGCCAGCGGGCCGGGCCCGGGCCCGGGCCCCTCTTCGTAGGGGATCTTGCAGCCCGGTTTGTGGGCCACCAGCACAAACTCCAGACGTTCCTTCTCCTTTTGGAGCTCGGCAATCTCCGATTCCAGCTCTGCTTTTTCTTCCTCCAACTGATCAGTCTCCTGAGGCCCCCGGAGCCAAGTCAGAGGAGAGAGGGAAGAAGGACAAAGACCGTCAGCGACCAGTGAGGACAGGTCATGGCCTCCCTAGACTTGCTGCAGAGGCCCAGGTTGCGAGACTGTTTCTCACCCAGAGGAAAGACCCCAGAGACAGAGTTCTGGTATGCCAAGGGACTTGGAGAAAGATCTGGCTTCCCAGAAGCCTCAGTTTCCCCGTCTGTCCAATGGATGATTGGGAAGGGGCAAAATGCCCATGGAAGTCTCTGGTGTGTAGGAGGCACTCAGGTTTGTGGAATGAATAAGCGATTGTTGTGGGTTTTGAGGGGTTTTTATGGGGGTCCACTGTGTCACCCCTCCCCTTCTTCCTCTCAGGGAAGAGGCTAACTAGGGTGGGTACAAGGAGAGTTGCCCTGGCTTCCTTTAGGGGTAGCAGGAGACCTGCAGGCATACAGTAGAGAACTCTCGCACTGAAAGGGGGTGGGCTTTGGTGGGTACCACCAGCCCAAGTTCCAGAGAAGTGTGATTGGCTGGGGCAGGAGGCAGGAAAGTGACCAGGATAAAACGATTTCCAGAATGCTAAAGATAGAAATCTGGGGAGGGGTTGCAGAGACAGAGCAAGGCAGCAATGGGTATTGCTTGCCCAAGACCAGAGGGAAGAAGTGCTGGAGCCTCCCCTCACTGGAGGCCCCGTCCGCCCCTGCAGCATGAAGTGCAGGCCAGGAGGCTGGCACCTGGGGTCATCAGTC